GTTTGAACCCCACGGGGGACGCTGATCCTCAACAGATGCCGGAAGGGAAGGGCGAGAGGCCAAGATCAAGCACTTCCCTCGGGAAAGAGATGTTCCTTAAGGAGAGGAGGGGGGAAGGAGGAGGAGGAGGAGGAAGAAGAAGAGCCGGTGTTGGGCTGCGCAGAGTCCCTGGGCCAGCAGGAGCCCGACGGTGGGCATTGGGGTCTGCAGGGCTTTCCAACTTCAACTGCAAATGGAGTTGGGCTTATTAAAGACGTGTCAGCAGTCTTCCTCCATTGCACCATCCACAACATCATTTCTGTGTAAAAGGACCTAGCCGAATAGAGACTTCTGTGAATCGATCTGGGCCCTCCTAGCTAGGGATCCCAGAGTGACAAATACATCACTTAGATGTGGGGTGTCTGAATTCACCATAACTGGCCACTGATCAACGTTTCTTTTAAAAGAAAAGAAGAAAGCACTAAATTCATTGAAATGAAGAAGAATTCAAGCATTATGCAAAATTATTTTGCTTCACTAGGATTGATTAAACAATTGTAATTATAAAAGGGGACTAGTTCGTGGGCATTTTAATTATAGGCCAGTTAGCTTCACACCATCTCCAATCTTCCCTTCCTTTTTGACAGGGGTTTGGAGCCTTGGAGGGTCAGTGGTAGGCAGCAATGTAGCCAGGCCCTCTTTTAGCAGCTAGGTTTAGGGTCTAAATTAATTTTTTCCAGTCATGATGTGGTTAAATACACTAGCTGTGTTCATAAAGAGCACAGGCTATTGGTCTCCCCCCTTTCCCTCTCTCCCCATGCTTAATTTCAATCATGAAAAATTAAGACTTCATCTGTGAGACCAGCATTGCACGTCTACCCAGAAACAAGTAAGCCTCAGGACTGTTTTGAAATTGACTCATTCCACTTCATAGCTCTGTGATGTTCTAGAAAAGTCCCACCCATCCAGTTGACTTTACTTAGCTTCCAAGAAAAGGCAAGGTTATCCTGGGGTTGCCATCTCCTATGACAAGACTGAACACCATCAACCATCCACTCTCATATCCCTATTAAGGAATACTTTCCTCTTAGATCAACAAGATTTGTAAAGTCACAAACTTTGGAATATTTAAGGAATCTTCAGCAGGCAAGCTGGCTGAAAATGTATGTAATTCAGTTTCAGGTAGAATAAAAAAGATACTCTAGGCATGATAAGTGGATTGTTTACTAATTAAATTTGTATGCCACCAGGGTTGCTGGGAATCCAGCAAGATACAAATTAAATACTGTAAATAAATTTATTTTTTGAATGTATAGAAATAATGTTAAATTACACTACAGCTTCTCCTCAGACTTGAGAAGAAGTGGGAAAAATAGTTGATAGCCCATTTTTACGTAACAATAACCCTTTTACACTAAAGAAGGAGGGTTTTATAAGACCTCTTATAAGAGTATTTTCCCTAATTTGGCTTCAGTACAAACTCTGCATTTGTTCATCTAAAAAGTGCCCAACTTATCTACCCTCTATTTTTTTAATCTACTAGGAGAACTGTATATCTCATAAAGCATGACTTTTGATTTTAAACAACTGAATGCCTGTTACATAGAGGAATGGGGACTAAAATGGAATATATACTTCAACGCATGCACAAAGAAGTTGTTGCTCATAACATATATGCTGATGTGATCTGAGATGGAAATCTCTGTGAAATCTTAATTTCTGTTTTAGATTGATTAAGAGCACGTTTGGTGTAATGGCTAAGGCACCAGGCTGAGTTCTAGACCCACCTTAGGCACAGAGCCAGCTGTGTGACCTTAGGACAGTCCCTCTCTTCCAGTCCTAGGAAGCAGGCAATGGCAAACCTCTTCCAAAATATCTTGCCAAGAAAATGTGATCAGGAAATAGATATTTAATTGGTTATGAGACAATTCAGTGAAAACCTTGCCGTTATACCTGTGCTGTAGCTACTTGTTTACACTGTATATAGATCTGACCACCATATCTCCAGAAGGATATTGTAGAAGTGGGAATCAATCAGAAAAGGAACAAATTGATTAAGAGGGCAAGTGAGTAGCAGTTACAAAGAAAAAAAAAGGTTAGTGGGAAGGGATTTACTGGATGTATAACTATAGTATTACTGTAATGTAGTGTAGTGCTGTATTTATTTATGTTTTTATGAGTGGCGCAGGTTGTGATGAAAAGGATGAGAGAGAATTGTTCTCTGCTTCTCACAATTAAGAAATGAACATTTAGTGATTTGCAATTTATGGAGTATGCTAGCAGAAGAGGTCAGATATTTGGGCAACTTTACCAGGAAGTAAGACAGACTCATGGAAAATCAGGCTATTGATAATGGTTGTGATGGCCATATATTAATTCCAGGGTTTGCAGCAACAAGCCTCTCCATTCAGTTGTCAATGAACATGAGGACGGTGTGGATTTCCCATAGTGAAAGGCTGGCCATCGAGAGGAAAAGACTGATGGATCTTTACATAGCCTTGTATTTTTACAAACTGGATTCCTCTAGTGATGATCTGGTGCCAATTAATGCTTCAGCCCTATCAGCGTGCAGGGCCAATGTGTGTCTGTAGAATTTAGTGAGGAACTGAAGAATGTGTGTGAGAAAGGATTGGGTAAAACGATTCATAATCCAATTAAACAAAGGCTAGGATCTTAAAGCCATGTAATCTCAATTCTTCTGTGTAATGGGTTTTTACACGGTGTCCTGAGGACAGCCTGATTCAGATGCAAAATTAAGCCCGGGAAAGCCTCTGGGCTCCGACCTTTTAAGCAAGGCAAGAAAAAGCTTGCCTTTCAGCAGCTCCTTCCCATCCCAGAGGGTAGTTGCAAGCGAAGGTGTAAGAGGAGGTAGGCTGAACTGCAAGACTACCTTTACTTGTCCTAAATCTCATTGCCGATGGACGTAATAGAAATTTAAAAGAGTCACGCGAGGCAGCCTCAGTTTCCTCCCCTCTCCCCACCATGTGGCTAAAGTGCTCCACGCTAGCAGGGTCGTGCCCATTGACTGAACAGTGTCCTCAGGATCTCCGTAGAACCGTTTTGGGATTCTGGAAGGTTTTCAGGGGACAAATGCTTGTCCGCCGCCATAGTTTAAGCCCCCTTTTCTCCAACTACTTTGGCTCAAAGTTCTTGGCGAGAACTGGCAAAATGGGGGATCCCCTCCCTTTCTCCGCTTGCCAACGGGAGCCCAGAATACACCTGTTACCTCCAGATTGCCGTCTAATTGTCACGGATCATCATAAACACCGTTAAAAAATAAACATTCTTCACGCCTCACTTCAAACGGTTGAAAAAAAAAAAGACATTTAAGCAAATTGGTGGGACTTCCCGAGCCAGCTGGAAAAAAGCCGGTAGAGTGCTGTAACAAAAAAGGAGAGGCAGGCTTTGGGTGAGCCGAGGACCGCCGTTTGCTGAAAAGAGTGTGAACACTCAGCCCGGTAACTGTCTCTGCTCTTCTCCCAAGGCCGCCCACCACGGAAGGAATTTATTTTGCCTGGGCAGCAAGTTGCAGAAAGCCAATTTCTTCCAGGCGCAGAGGCGTCGGAAGAAATGGACCACCGTGCCTGGATTCCGACTGAGCGCGCCGAAATCTCTCTGCCCCTGCCTAAATCTGAAAAAGGGCAAAAGGGCAAAAGCGCTTCGTAGCTCAGCGTATTTTTTTTTTTTTTAATCAGAAGCTCCAGCTTAAGGCAACGTTCCCAAGTTTCTGCTCTGTGAAATGGATTTAAATCGTTTCAAATATATATATATATATATTTGTTGGGTGATGGGTGAGGCACCCGGTCTACCAAATATAAATCAGTCTGTTCCGCGTTTCGCTCCAGTCTAGGAGCATGTTTTGCAGGCAGACCTCACATACCGTGAACACTATAAATTCAAATGTTTGTGGCTAGCAAAGAGTGGGAGAAATAGCTATACTAGTCTCCCACTAACTCTTTGCCAGCCACAAAATTTTGAACATATACATACATACATACATACATACATACATATATATAGTGTGTGTGTGTGTATGAATATATATGTATTTATATATGTATGTGTGTGTGTGTGTGTGTGTATGGTGTATATATATTTCTTCCCTTCCTCCCCATGCGATTCGTTTTTAAGACAAGGCTTTGAGACTGACTGCAACGGACAACCGTTCGCAATTAGGGATCCTTTCAAAAGCCATTCCAGTTGGAAGGACTTCACGATTCCTGAGGGGGGAAACGTTGCAGTTTTCCACGCTTCTCCTCTCCCGATCTTGAAACACGGTAGCTGGTCTCCTTAGGGTTTTCTCGAACTCTTTCCTTTTCCTTTTTTTTTCCCTTTTTTCTTTTCCTCTCTCGGTTTGGCCCAGAGCAGCTAGAAGAAAGCCTTTTTTACTTAGGCAAAACTCCCATTCACTGCCGACAGAGCAGGGGGCGCGGGGGTTGGGCAGGGCGCCCTTTGAGCGCGGAAGTTACACCTCGCTGTCTGCAAGAGATATGGATGGGCCTCCAGGGCAAAGGGGGCTCCCCCGGGCCGGAGATAAGTGCCTCGGTAAGTGCGGGATAGTGCCGCATTGTGGCCCCGTGAGTGTTTACATTGGGCGGGCGGGCGGGCGGGCGGGCGGGGAGAGGGGCGGGCTTCCCAAGTGGCTGTGAACCCTATTCAAATTCTCCGGCCCAGGTGGAGAGCCAGGCTCCCTACTGCTCCCCAAATGTTATTGTTTCCTCAGGTCCGAGGCGGTGTTTGGACTCCTCTCCCGCCCGCCCCGCCCCCCCCCCCGCCAGCTGTTGCGGGTGCTGTCATTGCAGCGTTTTATTCGAGAAGCCACAAAACTCTCCTTCTGTCTCCAGGCTCCCCTCCTTCTCCCTATTGGCTGGGAGGCGAGGAAGGCGTGTGTCCGAACCCGTTTCACTGAGCGGAATTCGGCGGCGTGACGTCAGTCTGCCGTTCCCTCCCCCCCCGCGCGCGCCTTCCCCCCCTCCCCAGCCCCGCAGCAGTTCGCTCATTGGCGCAGCCGCCCGTCCAGGACAATATTCATTGTTCTTTAGCGGCTCGGCCGAGCAACGTGGCTATAAAAACGCGCGCCGAAGGAGGAAAGGTGCTTCTTATTAACTGGAATCTGGGGGCAGCCCGCAGCTCAGCTAGAGCGGATCCGGCTGGCCAGGGAGACCCGCTCCGAACTGTAAGTCTTCCGTCCCGTTCCCTAGCCGGCAGGTTCGCTTTCGTACAGCCCGCTGAAAACTCATTCCCCAGACTGCACCGATCAGCCCGTCCCAGTTCCAGGCGGGAGCGGTGGGTGGCTTTTTTTTTTTTTTTCCCTCGCCAAACTTCCTTTTAGCGTTCCTCCAAGAAATATTATGGACACTGTAGTGATTTGATTCAGGGGATTGAGGAAAAACAGGCATTCAAAGTAGATCTGATGTAGCGAGGAAATATTTATCTTGTTCTAGTGAATTTTTTGGAGAAGAAATCTTATTTGGTCGATATATTAAGGAGAAGGGGTGGATTGTTTTTTTTTTTGTTTTGTTTTGTTTTGCATGGAGTCATTTCTGACTAGAGACGAGTAGAGAGGGCGCCGGGGTAGTTGGCTGAGGAGAGCTGGCCGGTTATAAAACTCCTCTAGCATCAGAACAAAGATTAATCCTAAATCGCCCTGCGATTTATTTGGGTAGGCTTTTTAAAAAAAAATACTTTGAGGCGATGTGTGAAAGTGGGTGGGCCTAAATCGATGCAAACCGCAGAGAGCAGATTTAAATGGGACATAAATGTAGTTCAAATAGAAAAGTCCAGCACACTTTGGCCAAACAAGCAAAAAAAGTTGTCAAAAGTTTGTTTTCAGGCTGTCCCTTTCACATCTCATTTCGGGTAGGGGTGGCGCTCGGGGTGTTTGGCGGGAGAAAGGCAAGGCAAGGCCAGAATGTTCAGTTTCTGCTGGAGGTAAGAAAGAAAACGAGAAGATGGGCTGAGCTTTGGAACAGGACGCTGTTGCGTGATCCTCAAAACAGTTTCAGCCGTTTCTTGCAACCAGCGATTAAACCGCAGCAGAGTCTACGACGAGGGGCCCGGTTTCTCAATTTTATTTTATTTTTTAAATTAGGTTTTTCCATAATGCTGGAAACGGGGAGGAGAAAAGCAGGTTATTTTGGATATTTATGGTTAATGATTTAGACACACAGATCTGAGGCTAGAGGTCGTTCTTTCAGGCTTACAAGTAAATAACGGTGTTTTTTTTTTTTTAAGAAAAGGTTTTATTCAACATATTGGCCACAAGCCAATTAAATTAACAAATATGAACTCTAAATCCTCTCGGAACCCCCGGGCTTTCAGACGTGCTGCACATTTTGAGTACCGGCGCCGGGCTTTTTCCGCGTTTGGCGGAGCGCGAGAGAAAAACTGTGGGTTCTGGTTCGGGGCTTCGCCGACGCTCGGCCCAAAGCCCCGACCGCGACCCTTTGCAAGCTTTGCCGCCAGCCGGCGGGGCTGCTCCGTTGCCTGACGCCGCTTGTCTCTCTTTCCTCCGCAGGCGGCCGGGGCGGCGGGCCAGCATGGACTCGGACGCGAGCCTGGTGTCGAGCCGCCCTTCGTCTCCGGAGCCCGATGAGCTCTTCGTTTCGGCCAGGAGCAAGAGCGGCGGGGGCTTCTCGGCGGGCGGCGGCGGCGGCGCCGTGTCCAGTTCGACGCCCAGCGACTCCACCGCGGAGCTGAGCGCCGAGCTGCGCAGCGCCATGAGCGCCGCCGGGGTGGTGGTGGTGGACAAGCTGGCCTTCAAGTCTCCTTCGTCCTCCTCTTCTTCCTCCTCCTCCTCCTCCTCTTCTTCGACGTCCAAGAAGGACAAGAAGCAAATGTCGGAGCCGGAGCTGCAGCAGCTGCGCCTGAAGATCAACAGCCGGGAGCGCAAGCGGATGCACGACCTCAACATCGCCATGGACGGGCTGCGGGAGGTGATGCCCTACGCGCACGGGCCCTCGGTGCGCAAGCTCTCCAAGATCGCCACCCTCCTGCTGGCGCGCAACTACATCCTGATGCTCACCAACTCGCTGGAGGAGATGAAGCGCCTGCTCAGCGAGATCTACGGCGGCCACCACGCCGCCGGCTTTCACCCGGCCGCCGCCGCCGCCGCCTGCTCGGGGGGCCTGGTGGGCCACGCCGCGCCTCTGCCCACTCACCCGGCTTCCCACGCCGTGCACCACCCCATCCTGCCCCCCGCCGCCGTCTCCAGCGCTTCCCTGCCCGGCTCCGCGGGGCTGTCGGCCGTCAGCTCCATCCGACCCTCGCACGGCTTGCTCAAGTCTCCGCCGAGCGCTGCGGCCGCCGCCGCCGCTGCAGCCGCCGCTGCAGCCGCCGCCGCCGCGGCTCCGCTAAGCAGCAGCTTCCAGCACTGGGGCGGGATGCCGTGTCCCTGCAGCATGTGCCAGGTGCCGGCCCCCTCGCACCACCACGTCTCCGGGCTGAGTGCGCCCAACCTGCCCAGACTGACCGGCGACGCCAAATAAAGGGCGGGACGGAGGGAGGGGAGGGCGAGCAACCGGGAGCGGGGATGAGCCACCCACCCACCCCCCTTGGGCAGAGGAAATCGCCCGCCCGGACTTGCGCGCACGCCCAGCAGCCCAAGGTAAGGAGGGTTCCTCCAAGGACTTTCCGAGAGCGCGGATTCCAAAGCCCCGGACGCTTAAAGGAGGCCCTCGGAAAAGGAGTCCGACCTTCGCGGAACTGCGGCTGCCGTCTTCGCTCCGCTCCGCTGCCAGCCCCGGTCTGGGTGGAAACGCAGCAGGCGCGGCTGCCGGAAGCTGAGAGCCGGGTTTCTTTTCTTTCTCGTTGTATAAAGCCGGGAAGGACCCCGGCCTGGGTTAGACGCTCGCCTTCAAAGAGAGGGGCCCAAATGCCCAGCGTTTCTTCCCACCTTGAGGGGTTTCCCCCCCCTCTTTTAAAAAGTAGAGGGGGGAGGGGTCGGATTTGCAGGCCGACTTAAAGCTACTTGATCTACAATTTCGTTGAAACTGGGAAAGCTTCAGGGCCAGAGTTGGCGGAGGGGATCGTCCCTAGGCTCCTCTCTGGACGTCCCCGAGCGAGTGGCGCTCGTTAACAATGTAAACGTAGCGCTGGTTATATGGATTTCAGAGTAATTGGCTTCCAGCCTACATCCAGTAGCGATTTGTAGGACTTTCAAGAACAAAAACGATCCAGTTACCCTAACTCAGAAGAAAGGCGACTGGTCTTGGGCGCGATCCAACCGAAGTTTAAGCAGTTTTAGGTGCCACCGATCTCCAATCCCGACTTTCGGAAGTTTATCCCAAAGTGAGTCTGACGCTGGGTAGGTGGTCGCGGCGGTTGCCTAGAAGCTCTGGCTGGATCGAGGCCCGGGCCTTTAGGATCGCAGTGTTTTGTATTTGGAGCAGCAAATACGAGGAGACCAAAATAAAGCGAAGTCCCCGCATCTGCTGTTGCCTGGGGGGGGGGGAGTTAAGGGTGGCATTCCTCGATGCATTCTCCGGACAGCAGCGAAGGGGGTCCTTTAGAGTTTCCTGAGTGTGTGGGCCTACGGATTAAGATCTTTCCTCCCCCACCCACCCCTTTTAGAAGCCACAAGACTTCCTTTTCTTGCTCGAGCATAAAGGTTAAAAGAAAAAAAAGGGGAGGGGGAGGGAGACATTAAGATTGACTTGCGCTGCAATATTTAGACCCTCCCTCCCACCCTTCAGGGCTTGTTTCTGAATGAGGTCTTCCCCCCCTTCCCCCCCTCTTCGTCTTAGCTCGGTCACCTTCGAGAGATTTTTTTTAATCACCTGTTTATTTTTATATATATCTATAAAATAAAGAAATGGAAAAGTTCCTAAATAATATTTATTATTTGGTTGCAAAAAAGAAAAAAAAGAAGTGACCCACTGTTTTTAAATAATGAGAATAATTAAAAGAAAGAGATAGAAGAAGGACGTCTGGTGTGTTGTCCCTTCATTTCCATCGAAGTGCTCTCTCTGTCTTCAAAAATAGGGGCCCAAGCCCCTCCTTGCACCACAGCGCAGCCCACTAACTCCTTAACTTCAGCAGTTGGGTGTACTTGATTGATGCCCCTTCAACAACTGACAGTCTTTTCTAACTCCCTCCAAAAGATCACTACATTCCGCAGTATAAAGACCCGCTGCCAAATAAACACGGGTTACCTCCAGCTGCAAGAACTAACATGCCACAGACACCTAAATTCAAAGGGACACAGCCTGAGTCCAAGGTTGGGGCCATATTAGTACTTTTCCCACGCTGTTGGAATTGCTGGCAACCAGTCTGTTATGGCTACTTGGTGACTCTAAAGCTTGCACGGGTAACACTTTATTTCTCCACGATCCTAGGTACCTTACGGGCTGCTTCTTTCGTGGACACTCAACAAGCCTTCTCTCTCCGCTCAACGCCCCCCCCCCAATGATACTTGGGTTACCTGTGTTACAGATGTGTTGATAATATATCCAATCAGCCGAATAATTGTTCTAGGGGAGAGATTGAGAAATGATGGGTGGGGTCAGCAAATTGAGGTTCTAATTTCCTATCACCTGTTTTCTAACCAAACCAGCTCTTTCATTGAGCGAGGGCATTTATTTACACAGGACTTTTGCCCAACCCAACAAGGGGATGCAGCTGATGGAAAATTGCCACACTTTCCAAAGGTGGGGCGGAGGGCAGCCAGTGAGGGGATGAGGGCAGGGGTTTTTCTGCCCTCACCTTAATCTTGCTCAGCCTAGATGTCGGCCAGGCTGGAAAACCCCTTTTGACGTCATTCCTTTCCTCAGGATGCTCCGACCAGGCAGGAGGCAAAGGATTTTATTTTATATTACTGTATTTTTTCTTTATTAAGAGTTTTGGAGGGAAAAAATCAAACCTAACAAGAACAAAGAAAGAAAGACAGAAATAGAAAGAATGAAAAAGAAAGTATTTTTTGCAGTAAATATAAGTACAACTACAAAATTACCTTTTTCTCTATGGTTACCTATTTTCCCTTTTCCCCTATCATGTATTTTTCTAATCATCAAAGTTGTAAATCATATGATCATGTTTTTCTGTTCCATGAAAAAGTCTATAAGGGATTTCCAGTTCAGCAATAAACATATATGTTGTCTTTTTTCTAATCATGGGAGCCCTTTTGGCTATCTCTGCAACTTCTACCATCTTGTCCAACCATTCCACTTTCAGCAGGTAGTGCTAAATATTTCCACTTTTGAGTATATAATAATATCACTGCAGTTATCATATATAAAAACAAAGTTCTATGACTTTTATTCCAACTCTCTATCCATCAATCCCAAAAGAAAAGTCTCTGGTTTCAATTGTATATATTACCTTTTATTCTGTATTAATGACTATATCTGCATCCAAAACTTTCTGGCTTTTTTACAAGCCCACCAAACTTAATAAAATGCACCTATTGTTTCCAACATCATTTAGAAGTACCTTTATACATGTTAGACAACTTATGTGGTGACAAAGGAACATCATTTTACAAAAAAAAGGGAAAGGTTTTTAAATTCACTTCTTGGAATGATTTTGCTTTGTTTTTCTTCTGCCTGGACTAGTCTCTGCAGTTTTCTTGGCAAAATTTTAGAATGCTTTGCCACTGCCTACTTCCTAGGGCTGAGAGAGAGGGGCTGGCCCAAGGTCATCCTTTGTGCCTAAGGCAGGACAAGAACCCACAGTCTCTAGACCAAACTGGCTGTCTCCTGGAACATGCCCTTCTCAAAGCAAGCCTTAGTAGGTTTATAGCTAGAATCGCATCTGGACAAATTTTAGGTAAATCTATTCCAGCCCAGCCAAGACCACCCAAAGTTTGGAGACTTCCCACTCAGTCACAAAAATTCACCAGAGGCCTGTCACTCTCTCCCTCTTTCAACCTCTGAGGATTGTTATCAAATAAAAGGAAGAGAGATAGAGAGATCCCCGTCTGTCTTGCATTCCTGGGAGATAAAAATCTAAGGGAAAAAAATTGGAGCTGAAAGAAGCTTAGATGTACACTAAGGAATTAAATAGTTAGGGCTAGGGCAAATGTGATGGAGAGAATGTGCAGCCCAGCCCATAAACTACAGATCTAGTTCAACAATTAAAATATAAGTATAAATTGAGTGAAATAAATAAGTATAAATTAAAATACAAACTACTCTATTTAACTTCCAAAGAGGTTTGTATTTGATTGACCACCTATTCACCATTATTCACTGCTTCAGCCATTGAGCCAATGCCTTCCAATTTTTGTTTTTGTTTGTTTGAGAGAGAAAATAAGGGAATAACCTCTCTGGTATGGAAGGAAGGCCAATCACTTCAAGCTCTCCCTAATTTTCAAGAGACAAGGAAAGTTTGTAGGAAAGAGGCAGAGAGAAGGAAGGAAAGGGGATTTTATCAAAGTGTCTCTTATTATTTGAAATAAAATGATTATCTGATTTCTGGGATCTCTAACCATGTAAGTCGAAAGCAGGTAAGCAGGCAGGCTCGAACATCTGTCATTGCCGAAATCAGATCCCGCAGATCAAGTATCCGGGTGCTCAACTGTCGGAGCTCTAATCCCGAGAGGTGGACTAATGGGGCCCGCTGCCTCCAACTTGCTTTAACGGAAGGACTCGTTAGATCTACCTCCGTAGACTGCTGCCAGGTTCCCACCAGCTTGGATCGGGGAGGGAAGCGGCGCCCTCTTCTTTCAACTCGCCCAGGAGACCAACTCCAGATTCCCTGCTTATAGGCAACCCAGGATAGAAAACACACATCCCTTCCTTCAGAGAAAAATTTCTGTACCGGAAGTAGTAGATAGACCAGGGTTTCTAGGTATTGTAGATTTTATCTACAACATTCTTATCTGAAGTTAATAGGAATCGTTTTGCACGCAGTTCGTCCCGTTTTCCAAAGAAATTCTCTTCTCGGGATGATTCCACCTTGCCATCCTCCCCTTTTTTTCAGAAAAGTAGGGGTCCTCATCTCTGCAGGACCATCACCCTGCGGCTAAAGCGCAGCCCTGGCCGTATTCATCCCGCCATACACTCCTCTGGGGCGGCTCACTGTGCGGATTGCAGCGAAAAGCGCCCCTCTGGAGTTCGTTCTCGGCCTTTCTTTCTATACCGGGGTGCGTGGGGAGCACCTGTCACTTGGAACATATAAGTGTATACTCTTTACCCACTTGGGAGTAGGATTTATTTTAGTGTAGGCACGCAACTATAGATGCCTATGTGTTAAAGGAGTGTGGGGAGGGTCATTGAAAAAGGCACCCCGCCCAAACTCGCCAAAAGACTAGGCAGAAGTTGGGAGGCTCCTGGTCTTACAGAGAATGGAAGGAAAAAACGGAGAAGCTGCTCAAGTCTCGAATAGCCCGCGGTGGGAACGGGAGGGAAAATAAAGAGATTCTCTCCCGGGTGAGATTTCAGCCCGGCTCTTTCTTGTTTTTCTGGGAAAAAGAAGGAACAGCCTTTTCTGATAAAAGCTTTAAAAAATATGATTTCCTCTTAGTCCGAAATAATCACAGAATACTACAATTGCATTGTAAGTCGGGCCTCTGGCTTGTGACCTCTTTCTCACGTCGAGTTAACCAAACCCGTGATTTACGAAGCGCGATTGGCGCCATTTAAGAGTGAACAAGGCCTATTTGGGTTTCGACTGAATGTGGTAAACCGGGATTAGACCAGAGCTGCCTCGGACCACCGGTTACAAGTTTGGGACGCTTCCTGGACCTCTAGGAGAAAAAGCAGCCTCAGGGGTGTCCGAAGGGAGAGGCCAAAAGTCAAAGACAGCGACCGCAGTGCCGCAGTGTGAGGTCGAAACTTCTGCTTTTTACGGGCGTCGCGGCAGCCATTTTAATTCCTGCTGGTTCTCCAATCAGGAGCTAGATTTAAAAAAAAAAAAAACCCTCAAGGCTTTTTGTAGATGGGGTGGGGAACCATTTTATGACTTGTACACTTGAACTTCCAGAATTCCTGAGCCAGCCAGGAATTCTGGGAGTTGAAGTCTAAAAGTCATAAAAGGGCCATAGTTCCCGAGCCCTGATCTACAGCTTTGAGTTTTGTTTTTTTGTTTTTTAAAAAAAACCCTGTTAGTGCTGCGACCATGGCAGCGAGAAGCTCAATAGGAAAGTTTTCTGCCTTGACCAGACAACTAATTGGAAGCGATGTCTAGGGACGGGATATCTTGCAAGGGCATTGGCCTCTGAGTTTTTCACTTCTGCAAACTTCGCCTCTCCATCTTGGGGAGCTAACGGGGAGAAAGGCAGAGGCCATTTTCGCCTCAGTTTAGGTAGACGAGAGTTAAATCATGTCTTGGACCGCACAATACGATGAATCTTAAACTAATCAAACGACCTGACTTCACACAACAAGGTAACCTGCCGAAGCGCAAAATAGAGAAAATCATCGTTGAACAGCAAATCGCACTCATCAACCAACGTAGCAGCTAAATCTAGCCGCCAAGTTAACCTCGCTTTGGGAAGACGGTGCGAGAATCGCGCGCTCTGTAATTAGTGATTTCCAAGGGAGGCTGCAACCTCTTCACTCAATGCTGCCGGCTACATGTGGAGTACGTGTCCCATCGTCCCCAGCCCCGAATGTTGGGAGCTGTCGGAGGAGGCAGCATTAGGAGTAAACTTCCATGGAGTAGACTTACGCAGTTTTCGCCCCTGACGCTGGTAAACCGTTCTCCCCATTCTTACTCCAAGGCAAATCATCCCGCCGAATTCATTGCTCCTTACGTCCAAGGAAACGGGATCGACTGAGACTGGATTCCCCGCTCAATTATTTGGCAGGAAATCTCATCAAAATTGAACATCTGACACCCATTTCCTCCCGTGGGCTGGTATATTTCGACAGCAAAAAAACAAACGCCTGAACTCCAGACGTTTCCGGGGACGCGGTCGTTTTGACCCTTTCTCCGGATCAAAATTGTAGAAAGAAATGTCTTTCGATAGTAATACGTTGAGTTTTTCCCTCTTCCCCAGGCCTAAAATGGTACAGTAAGTAAACCGAAGGAGAACGGATCGAGGATTTCCTCCAGGTCGATGATTCCCGGTTTAAGTTTGGATTCCTGGATCAAAAAGCTTGCCAAGTTCCAAGGGTTTGAACCGGCTTTGGGCCAGCTACGAAGCAGCAAACTCTGGTGTGGAAAGAACTGCGCTGTTGCTTTCAGAGAGATAAAAGACAACACAGCAACTACCAGGCCTTAAGATAACTGTAGCGGTGCAGAGTACTATAGAGAATAAGTATTCGCTTTGGCCCCACACTAGGCCAAAACACCAAACCACGTGATAGCAGAATGTGATGGCCCGGTGCGGAACCCAGAAAGACACAGCCAAGGCTGGCAGTATTTCTAGGCAAAAAAGGCTGGTGCTACTCCCATGGGCTTTCTGGAGCAGCCCCTAAAGATTCCCCCAAAGCTCTGTCTTTTGAGATGATTTTTATCTATTTACCAATTATTCTAAACGTTCTGATCATAGCCCACCCATGTAGATTTCACCTGCCAGAGGTATTTTGCCATGCTCCTCTAAATTCTGTTTTAAAAGGCACTAATTGAGTTCAAAAGCCCTTGTTCCCATGCATTGGCCTGAACATTTTTTCCCATATTTTGACAAATGAGGGAGGTGGAATGAGAATTCTCAACTGAAACTTATTTTCCAAAAGGACCTCCACAGGACCTGCTTCCTTCATGTCTCTCCCTCTTATAAACTGAGGCCATACAATGCACAGCCTTCTCATCTGATTTATCTGGTTTTGGCCAAGATACCTGTGCTTCAGCCTGATGGTGTGAGATCCCAGTTTGTAAAAAGTGACTGGATTTTGGATGGGGAGGAGTTTCTATAATGCTTCTGATGAGGGAACTGAAGGATTTCTGTTTATTCAGCTTGAAAATGTAAAGAGGAAGTTTTTCATCAGTGGGGTTGCAAGAAATGGAACTCAAGAGTCCCATAGGCCATAAGGCACCTAAAGGACTAGAACTGATCCTGAGAGCTACCAGGCTTTTGCGGGACCCACCCAATACCCAGATTTAATGCCAAAATATTCTTTTTCTGAAGATACCAGTAAGATCTGTCTGCAACTACTTAAAGCATCTGTGTCTTCTTGGGACAATCTGATGCTGTGTGCATAGCGCACTTGCTCTGAAGCACCTTTTGGCATTGAATCTGAACCTCTGCACATCTCTATTTAAGGTGCAGCAGACAGATGCTAAAATTTTCCTCTGGTGCACTTGAAAGCATTTATTGTGTGTGCACGCACACACACAGACAAGATGATGTGTATTGTACAGTTGCTTAAATCAGAAGTCCAAAAAGTACAGAGAGAAGGTGGAAAAGGCAGCTTTTTATTTCAAGCAACATTTTAATTCAGTGGAGTTGGTACTTTTCTTAGACAATGTATAGTTGGAAGAAAATATTAAAATGCTTCTTAGTTGAGTTTTGTGTGTGTGTGTGTGTGTGTATGT